ATTTATTTATGATACGGGGCATAGGTATAAAGTGCCATTTTTTGAAATAATGGATCATGACACATTGATTTTTTTTGCAAAGAAATTTTAGTTACGTTAATATATCAAAATAAAAAAAAGTTCTCATATAAGAATTTTGTGAATGCATACACAGGTTTTAGATGATGAAGAACCCTTTGTTGAATGGGAATTTGATACGCCGAAACCAAGTTGGCTAGATAAAATAGCACACGAGCGCAATTCATTAATTTACAATGCTTTTAATTGTAATAATAAAAAGACTCAATATGAATTATCTTTAAAGTAAGTGTTTGATAAACATTGATTCATTTTGTTACTGGTGACCTCCAGGTTCTAATAAATTTTTGGTAAATCTATTGGTCTATTGTGAATTCTGGGTTCAGACTTTCATAAATCTTACCTTTAAAACCGTAACTGTGTAGGTGGATGTGACATTTACTCGTGCTTCCTCATGATATTCAAGATCTTTGATGAATTGCTTAACTTTGGCAGTAGAAAATGTTGAGTCAAAAGTCGATAAAATCTTCGACGCCTTGTTTTTGGCATTTACGTGAACGTTACATTTATCCTTATAGCTAGATAATATTGTGTATAGATCTTCCTTGAAATCATTGAGTGTAGCTACGGATAATTTGGTGTTCGAGTTTGATCGTGCAAATTCTAAGATTCCAAGAATTGCCCAATCTTTATTTTTCGTTTTTTCAAGATATTCCGTCACTACAGATTCAAACATCTAGAAAAAATCAATGTAATTATTAGTCATTTATCCGTCTTAACAAGGAAATATGGTAATGTTTACAGTCAACTGTACACTGGAAAACAGCATACTGGGACTCGGGCCTTAAACACGTATGCTTAAGGACAGCCCAACAGACTGCCTCCAAACATCTGAACGCAGGACGGGATGGCCTAACGACAGTAGGTATAGTGAACGCACCCTGGAAAACAGCATACTGGGACTCGGGCCTTAAACGCGTATGCTTAAGGACAGCCCAATAGACTGCTTCCAAACATCTGAACGCAGGACGGGATGGCCTAACGATAGTAGGGATACGCGTGATTGCAAACTTTACCAGAAATCAAAGATCTACGAAGATATAGAGAAAGATAAACCTTATTTTTTTTGCTTTATACTCGGAAGTTCCTGTTCTGCAGTAGATACGTGTTCAGAAATCTATCAACTAGGAAAACAGATACTGTTAAATGTCCGGAACTAAAAATTTATTAAAAAAAGAAAAAGGGATGATCATCCAATCTAAAAATAGGTGCGGACAAGATCACCCACTACATTTCCGGACAATAAGATTGTCACATGATCGACTACGTATCAAATTTCTACAATACACATGATACTCTCGCATAAAAGAATCATTAATTTCAGGTACGTTTTAAGAATAAAGCATGAAAGACCAATACTGTCGGATCCTAAGCCTTTTAGGATTTTATTTAGATTCTTGCAGATGTTCGAATAAGTGATGACCAAAATTTCAGCGACGGGCCGTCGTCGAAAAATAATATAAAGCACTCGACTCCTACGCCACATGCAACTGACCGATCGGTTAACGAACATAAAAACGTAGAATTAGGCTTTATTCATACATGTATAATGACGAATTAAGCCCATATCGTTATCAGGTTTTTATTTTGCATCTATGATTGGTATTATGTGAGCGTGTTAATTTTCGAGTTAGAACAAAAATCATATTGCAAGACACATAAGTGACATTGTCCAGAGGAATTTCAATTTACTAAGAAAAAATCTCGACGATTATGTATATGAAATAAGCCACCAGGGTCGTCTTTGTTGATGTAGTAAAAATAAAAATTGGAATAGGTTCTAAAACTTGTCTATCTAAACGAGTGCTCTCAATAGACAGTTTTGCATGTGAAGAACTTGATATAGAAAAGTTAGACGACAAATTTTTTATATCAAAGAATCTTTTATTGCATCCCCTGATTGAGACTGAAATGCAATAATATGTCAATTAATACTAATGTATCTTGCTGAAGATCATCACGACTTATAGAGCCATTCAAGGTTAAATAAGATTTTAAAACGCGTCAAGGGACTTGATATTCTATCACACAAGCGGTCCGGAGTTGATTCCCACAAAATGGAGTCATAAATACGTATCAAATTTTATTTTTACAGTAGTAGATATATTATTTATCCAAGGTCATAATCGATTCTCAGAGAATTATCATTATTACATTCACATCGCTTATATATTCCATCTGCCACCTTTTTGCATGTTTTGCAATATAGGTGTGAATGGTGGTTGCATTCGTCACAAACCTTACACCCGCGCTTCCACCCTCTAAAGATATGCCACTTTTCGATGTAATTTTTCCTGTTTTTATATGCATTCTGATTTTTCATTTTGATATATTA